CTAAACAGATCTCATTTATACAAAATTAGTGTCACTGATCATAATGGATTGAAACAAGTAGCAGCAAATTATGTATGATTTTTATGTGCATTTGCGAGTGAGCTGCTAAGATTTTCAGTTCTGGCAAATGGTACATTTTTCATATTTGGCACGGTACAGAAGGAATCTGACAAATTACATAGATAGATGACCTAACTACTTTAGTTGTTTTGTACATTTTGATGGTTGGAGGAGGCTTTATTTCATCATTTACAGAAGTAATACCCAATGAGAGAAAAAATAACATCCCAAACACCAAAACTATTTGTTTTAATTTGTTAGTGCTAGTTCTTAAGCTATGGTTGACGTATAACTTACCGATTTATACAATAGCTGCAAACAAATGAACATTGAGGGATTCCAAGATACAGCAAATGCCTTAATGTCACCTTTAGATCATCTCTTACATATTAATGTTCACTGTGTCTTTTAGGTAACATTTCCTAAACAGGACTGAAGTTATGTGCCTTGTGCTCTTGTCCTTGATAAACTGAATTAATACTGATTGAAACTGTCGAGGATAAGATTCCTAAATCCGTAACTCCATTGCAAATTTCAATTGCTCACCTTGAGACTGCTATGGAAACCCTAACCACCGAGCGGAATCTGGTAAAACCTCTGGAACGACGGGTAATAACCTGTAAATCGGTACAAGACGGGTGACCTCCCAATCGAGCTATAAACGAAAGCGTTGCTTGCTCACATTCTTGAAATCCGCCGAGGAGGAGTAACAAATATTTCTTTTGATAAATTAGAGCTTTTCGGAACCCTTCTGCCCGCAGATACTTCCCATAAATTCTCTAAAAGAGTTTTCAAAAAGAAAAGTTCCTGTTAAAATGCCGCATCTCATTTCTAGTTCGTTTCCTTTCAGTTACACATTAATCTATTTTCACAAGGCAATATAGAACTGAGACCCCAGGACAATCTTTAAGCTCTTCAAGTTTACGTTGTGACTCTTTACATATATTACAAATGCAAATCTACAATAAAACATAGTTATGTCTATTATGTAATGTTATATGCAAGTTAAGTATAACAAACTGTAGTCAAAACAACATGCACTTTCAAGTAACTTACCTTTACTGCAACAGTTTCAGAAATTGATCCAAGCAACTCTGTGTGTAAAGAATCACTTCTGGCTTCTGCCTTCATTTTAGATAGTTCAGCCTCTGCCAGATTTAAGGCCTTCTGTAGATTAGATTTTTCTCTAGCCCAAACTATTCTCTCTGATTTTATTAGGGCATCAACACAGTCTTGATTATCCACCAGCCTTCTTGATAACTGAAAAATGAAAAACAAATATACCAACAGCTAAACACATGAAGAGAAGAGACAG